AGCTAATTTTTCAATATTTGCTGAGTGGAATATTGCGATAAGTTCAGCTCACGAGCCATTTTTCTGCCACGGCTACCCGGGTTTTGATCAAGTCGCTTCATTACTTTTCGAACCATTCCTGCTGATGTTGCTGTTTTCTTCCGTCAACTTCCTTGACGTCAGGCTACGCTACAAGTATCAGGGTAACGAGTGATGGTATGAGACACAAAAGATTTATTCACACTTAAATGCTGGAGTACTCTAACGATAGCCACTTGTGGTTTTCCAGCCAAATATAAAGAAAGCACACTATCACGCATGAATTCCATCACGAATACCTTTTTTTCTGGAAAATTCTCACCAAAATGCTTTTGTACGCTTCTAAACAATATAATGAGCTGTCACTGGAATAATTTAACAGCTGTCGGACGAGTTTTTTTCATCTCACCCTGTATACTTGGTATAATCCTTTAATAATAAGGTATTCAAGGTACAAAGTTCTCCAAAATTATTATAATACATAATATATAACTTCCATGGGAATCTTCTTTTTTTACCTCCCGCCAATCACTTACATTAAGAAAGCTCAAATATTCATATGCATTGTCTTTTAAATCCAATAATATTGCCAATACTTGATCTTATTACAAATAATGTTCCATTCCTTATCCCTAACAACTCCATAAAGGTCATGATGATTAGATTATGGTAACGAGTACATTATACACGAAGAACGAAGAAAAAAAGGAGCAGAAGCTCACACATACTCAATAACAGCGTAATATGGCTGATACACATACATTTACATTCTCTATTTAAGTCCGACATGCAGACATGACAACATGCTGACGGTCGTTTTGCCGGCAAATGGTTGGTACGTGTAAAATTGGCTTGTTTATGGGGACACAAGTATATCCTTTTGCTATTTCGTTTCTTTTTTTTTGGCAACTTCATAAAATGCAATCTATTGGAATGTGATTTTATTAGAAAGAAATCTGCCAGGCAAGGAAAAAGAAGCAAGAAGAGCGGAGCTAACAAATCATCAGGAAATAAACTGAGAAATCTGTGGAAAAATCGTCTCGACTTTTTTCTCGTTCTGCTTTATGATAGCCGTCCATTTTTGATTTAATTTCCTTTAACGGAATTCGGTTTGTTAAATTTATCTTTTCGCCCAGACATGCATATTTTTTCTTGCTTTTCGGATTCTTTGCAATTTTTTGGTTTATTTTGAAAGAACAAGAATATGAGACAAAGTGAACGGATATGCAATTTGGTGTAAACAATGGAAATGTGGGAATGGTATGTAATACCTTAAATGGGATGAAGAAATATTAAAATTGACTAAAGTATCTTTAATTTTGAGTTACAAAACATTTCATTTTTTATTGAAGATGGTTTATGTTAAATTTTAAATTTTATAATAAATAAATTTTATTTTTCCATTTAAAATGATTCTTAATTTTAAGGTTCCTAACTACGCCCAAGAAGTATACACTCCATATTTTGACTTCATTAAAGAGGGGTGGAGAATGTCTAAGTAAATTAAACTTCATCCGACAATAATTCAAACCATTTAATTTACTTTGAACCAAACTACTTCTTTATTAATTTCACTCTTCCTTCTCTCTCTCACACATACGCACACACTCTGTAAGCGGTGTTCTTAAATCCTTATAAATTTCAATAGTTTATGGCTTTTAATTTTAGATCTCTCATTCCTTTCGGCCAGCCGCAATAAATATTCACACTAAGTCTCATTGTATGTGAGGATGGATGAATGTATGCACTTGGCTCGATAATATGTCACAAGAGTGGTATTCTCGAAATGTCCCTGGACGTGGCTTAACTTTAAGGAAATATTTTTAATAGCCCAAAGCATTAGCTTTTCCAATATCGAATCTGCAAGAGATTACTACTCTAACAAGTTTTCGTGCTACGCCACTGGCAATACCGAACAAATTGCAATAATGTTGCAATTTATGGTTGTTTACAAATTTATCGAAACCGTTTGAAGACACTTGGTGCAACACTTGTGCAGTAGTGCAGTTCGGCCGAAAAACCTGGCAAAGAGGCACACACTTTCGAACATACGTCCATGGGTATAAAGATTTCCCAGCATATTTAGATCAGTGCATTTAAAGTGTCCTGAACAATTTCTAGATTCAGAATGAATTGGATTTAACGTGTAGAATATGTGGTGTTTTATAAGTATCAGAACTAAAATTTCGAAAGATGTTTTCTGATAAGATTATAGATATTTAATTTAATTCTAGTTTTCCTAAAACTATATAATTATTGTTTATTTCTAATTTTTTTGTACAAAAAATAAAATTTATTAGTCTACAGCAGACTTTAAAAAATACTCAATAATGCATTGCATACGTTTAGGCAATCATTTTAAATAGAAATATTTTTTTTTACATTTTCAGCATCGACAGGTGTTTCCTATAGAATTTAAATTTACATTTTCGTATTTTCTTCTTAAGGTTTTATTTTTCTTTAAACCTTATTAAAGGAATGAAATAATAATTAAATAAATAATAATTAAGAAATAATAATTTAAAGTTTGATTTTAAAAGAAGAATTAATTTTTAGAAAATGTTGAAATGTGCGTGAAGTGCCAGATATAGTCGACCGGAGTATTCCATTCTCATACTTCATCTAATACAGATACAAATATTGATATGTGCAAAATTTGAAGGATAAATTCCGATAAATTACATATTCATATCAGATTTCTGGTTAGGAGAAATATTTAGATGTAGGAAGTTGTAAAGAATCGCCGAATTATTTTGCAAGTTATGACAGATATAAATAATGGTTAGCAAAAATGTTTGTATGTGGGAAATTTAAGGAGATGGATGGAGGGATTTGGATGCTTATTTCGCTTTCTTTGAGCCTTTTGGTTATTTAAAATTTTAACCCTTTGTGGGGGAGGTAGCAGAAGGAATGGTCCGATATCTACCATCTATATAACCGATCTTGTGTTGATGAAAATAATGAAATGTGCCAAGTCTGAATGAAATCGGATGTTAATTTCGTGTTTTATGAGCTTCATGTATATTCAAAATTTTGAATTTGTGGGGGAGGTATCAGAAGGAGTGAATCGATATATTCCATCTTTACACCGGACCTTGGATTAGTAAAAAATATTGTGACGTGCGTGATTTGAAGTTGATCGGATTTTATAAATGTTATAATTATTCAAAATTGATGCTGTGGACCGATATTGTCAATTGTCAAACCTGACCTACCACTGAGGCAAATATAAGGATATGCAAAGTTGGAGCAAAAACGGATTATCCATTCTTTTTCTGTGCAGTAAAATATTTTATATATTTTTTACTCCAGAAGGGGTGGACCGATATTGCCCATCTCTGAACTCGATCTAAGTTTGACAATAATATTACGATGTACCAAGTTGGGATCAAATCGGATACTCCGAGAGTTATCGTGCGCACTAGCCAGCCAGACAGACGGACGGACGGACATCGCTAGATCGACTCCAAATGTCCTTAAACGGATTTGGTCCAAAGAGGCCTAGGGTCTGAAACCGTTTTTTTTAAATGGGGCACGTTTTGGCCGTATCAAATGAAATAGGTACAAAAATTCTGGATTATGTTCAAAAGTATGATGTCAAAATACTAAAGATAATTGTGGAAATCTGTAGTATTACCATACATTTAGACGGAGGAAGAAATTGTGAAATATATATTGTGAAAAGTCTCTTTATATGTAACTTTAGTACAGACCCCTGACAAACGCTTCGAGCGAGTGGGAGCACTCCTGTGAGTTGAAAAAAACGAGAAAACTCTATTTTTCGCTTTCGCTGGAATAAGGGCGAATATGCTTTGCTAGTTTTAGAGTAGGATTCAAATTTGTTTGAGCATTATTTTGGTTTTCTCAACACATAGCCAATCTGTACCTATTAAGCATATAATAGTGATGTTGCTTTTGTTATTATTGTAAAAATTCAGGACTGAAATAATTTAAAGCTCAAGTCTACATCTCAACAATAATACATGATCTATAAATTTATCCAAAAATTTAGAATGTGCAACACTACTTTCTCAAACTCTTCGTCATCTTCAACTGAAAAAGGACTTCATTATTTCCCACCTCTCAACAGACACACACACACAAACGCTTTGTTCAAAAATATGGCAAAATTAAATGTAGCGTTAACAATTCGCTCATAAATTTATCACCCATTCCGCTTTTAAATCATTAAATTATTTAATGTCCATCTTGGTACACCTCCCCTCTCCTCCACACCACTCACCACAACCTCACACATACACAACATTGACACAACAATGGAAAAGGTCTTAGCTTTTGTTATTTCGCTTTTTTCCGGTCGAGACTTTTTCCCCAGATGCGTGTCTTCCTCTCCACGAAAAGATGAGCAGAACAAAGATTTGTTCGAAACGAATGAGGGGCAGCTAGCTGTTCGTAACTCTCCCTTGGAACCTTAACAAAAGAGAAAGCGTAAAAACTCGTAACGAAATTAAAGTTAAAAATCGTCTGTCGGTTGTTAAAGTAACGACAGCTACTTGACTATACTTAGCTGCTGCAGTTTGCCTATCATCATAGACATGGTCGGCAGATCCTTATTCCATCCATGGCCATGGCAATGCCTTCGCCGTTTATGCAAACGAAAATAAGCATTAAAAAGTTTACAGACAATGTGAATAAAAGAAATTTGGTAAAATGTTAGCGAAAGAGAATCTTATTTGAGTTATAAGTTATTTATTGGAGGAAGAAATCGCCTTTTTATACTCAAGGACCTGTTAAAATCTTACCTTCCCCCTATGGTCGTTGTTTTTATGGCACATTGTAGTAGCGTTTTGTTGAGAAGGTCAAACAAATTTCTTGGTGTTGTAATTATTGAACTTCAATCGATGACAAGGGTGACCACAGCACTTAAATCACAAAAAGGACATTTTAATTAAACAGACTTTCACTTCACCTCACACGCCACTTCCTGTCTAATAATCTTCTGCTTTCTACTCTATTTTCAGAATTTTATCGTGCGCGGCTCAAGCCAACCCAACACAATGGCCGTGTCAGTACGTTTGCCACCCGATACTGGACCATACATCGAACACTATCTCATTCAATCCAACGAAGGCATTCTTTGTCTGGAGAGTTCCCGCTTCAAATTTGATTCGATACCCTCGTTGATAGCTCATTATGCTCAGTGTTGTGATGAATTGCCCGTTCAACTCGTCTTGCCACGGGCCCTGAGAGAGGCTAAGAATCGTCAGCAGCTGTCATCGCTGGCATTGCTGGGTCAGGAGTTCTGGCGTTATCCCATGTCCTGTCCCAAAGAAAAAGAGGCTACTTTCCTCGATGCCAAATCACCCAATTCCATAACGGAAACCAGCGGCATTGGCACGACCATTTTTAGCAATTCAGGTGGCAGTTCCAGTGCCACGGGTGTGAATCAGAACAGCAAGGTGTTTAGTCCCATCAGCAATATAACAAGTATTTTCAGCCAGGCCGGTACACCCTCAGATACCACATCCAGCATGAGTTCGTTTACTACCAGCGGGGGTCAACATATGCAGCTAATGAGTCCGGAATCGGTCGATTCGGTTATTCTGACCATGTCCCCAGTAGATATCAACAATCAGCGGAACGGTATTTTGGGTCTGGGCAATAATCCGACGGACAACTTTAAAACGTCATCCAACAACCTATCCACATTCAAATCGAATGCCCTACAAAATTCTCAACAAAATAACTTTAAGAACTCAACGAAGAACATAATGGACCAAGAAATTCGCACACAAAGGCCCAAGCCACCAAACACATTGAATCTGGACTTGCGAAAGGCCGCACCAGCTCCACCAATGCGCTGGTCCAAACCCCTCTCGCCCAATAGTCCACAGCCACCAACGGACATTAATGGCCTGAATGCTGCCAATAATTTCACCGTCACCACTACCGTTACATTTTCCGTAGACAATGCCAATGCCCCGCAATTCGTTGAGGTTACAACACCAGCTGCCAATAACGCTTTGACATCGGTCATCAACTCCAATACCACTTTCCAAACATTCTCCAAACGTCTATCGCCCGAAGGTGAGTGCAAGGACACTCTATCCTCGCAAGGCTCATCAGGCGGCAGCAGGTGGCAGTCTCACAGCAGCAAGGACTCTAATAGTAGCCAACGAAACATACTGTCGCCATGTACGCCCACAAATGCTAATGTTGGTGGCAAATCTCGCAAATCAAAGTCTCGCAAGGAATCTAAACATTATCAGGAGTCGGACATTTTGGAGAGTCCGGAGATTTATTGCCGCAGCACTCTGCACGATAAAATTAGCGACTATGAAGACTTGTGGTCGCACGATCCCAGTGATAGAACAGGACTTGTGACCAGTTTTAAGCCACCGCCAGACGGCCAGCAAGGAAAACGACCCGATCTGCTAGCGGAAACACGTAAGTCAAAGTTGATTAGAGTCAGTGGCCCATTAATCCATTGTCGTTTATCTTTTATTTGTAGCTTCAATTACCTCTTCCTCGAATACAAATACAACAGCGCCTGCCGTTACTTCTTGCCCGCCTCTAACACACACTGCCGACCCGCTTACCATGATGTCCTCTGAGACGACATCCGACACTCAACAGCTGTTGAAGTTTCCCGAAGACTCTAAACCTCGATCCAGAGCTGGTCTTATCTTGCCCGGTCTCATGACCCAATCCTTGTCCGAAGATCAAGTCTTCAAGTGCGAAGCCACAGAGGGTGATGCAACACCTACTGCCCAGACCCCGGTGTCACGCAGCAAACAGGGCAGTCCATTTTATGCTGAACCTGCTGATGCCCTGAAGCAAGCTGGTCTTACCACGGCCAGTATTCTAAGACGGTCCCAGCGTGGTCCTCTACTGCCGGCAAACCATCGCCATTCGGAACCACCAAAAGGCGGCTTTGTACGCACACCCATGTGTCCGCTCTTGGTGCCAGCTGAAATCGAGAAAATTGCCGGAAGTCTGGACGAACTGAAAAAGAAGCAACAACAATTGCAGCAACAAGCCCAGCCTCAACAACAGCCCTCGAAAAGGGCCAGAGGCCGATTTGAGCAATGGCAATTGGATAGCAGTTGGGAATTTATGGCCAAGGGGGATGATAATGATGCTGAATATGGAGATTACGATTCAGCAGAACAATGGAAGGATGTCAATGCCTCGGAAAATCCAAATAAAGAGAATTCTTTAAATCGCGAAGCGAATAAAGAAAACAAACAGAAACCCTTGACAATACATCAAATTATAGCCAAGAGATTACCTGATCTTAACCTGCCCGAGTTGGTGAGATGCTCTACGCCACCTCAACAGCAACAACAGCAGTCGCAACAACAACAGCATCATCAACAAAATGGCAATAACAAACATCTCAACGAATTAAATGGCAGTCAGAAATCCTTTGAATCGTCACAAAATAACACTTGTCGTCTCTCAGCGTACGATAATGTTGAACGTAATTATGCCCTAAGTCAGTGTTTCTTCACCGGTCTAGACTCTGCACAGTCGGATGATGGTACAGTGTTTTCAGAACCATGGGATTCATCACAGTGGGATTCGTTTATGCCTCATGATGGTAAGTGCATCGTTATGATGGATCCAAAAAAAAAAATAGGAACTAATCGATGATTGCTTCTCTTTCAGATGCTACCATTAACTCGGACACCATACATTTGTCGAAATGTCGACCGGTCCTCTCAGAAGACGATACCATTATCGAAGAGCTCAGTACCAAAGAACTTAATGGCCAAGACACATTAAAGCCGAAAAAGACAAGTGGCAAACATGCTACGATTTTACGAAATCCCAGTATACGAGATCGAGAAATTCTATGTAAGTATATGCGTAGCATTGGTAATTTAAAATGTTATTTTGATAGAGAAGATGTAATATTATATTTGAGGTAGAGAGGATATTGAAATACCAAATATGACTTGAGAGATTCTAGGTGTTCATTAGACAAAAAATTTACTTTATTGATTTAAAAATCAAAAGTGATTAAAGCTATTGCCAATTATTTCGTAATTACTCACAAATATATTGCATTTATCATTTAATTGTTTTATTACTTTGTTCCGTGAACAATGGAGGCGTAATTTATTTGTTTATAGTTTCAATGTTATTAAAACACTTGACTATTATCAAGAAGCTATCAATCATCAACACTTGCACTGATTTGCGTTGCATTGTGCAAATAATTGCAATAATTACGTCATACAGCATGTCAGACATAGTGGCACTAGAAAAGTAAAAAAATACTAAGGGATTCTCTTAAGGTCTAAAGATCAACATGACTTTCAGAATAGATTATTGGGAAAAATGTTAAAGTACATAACTTTCTGGCGTCGAGTTTTTGAATTAAATATTTAAAAAAAAATAATAATAATTTTTCAAACAAAAACATGTTCCAAATTAGCTCAAATCTAATTTTAAGAAACAGTTGTTGATTGTAGGATTGCGTGCATGAATGCCCATCTATGCATTCATGCACATATATCCAATTGCAATTGGATACAAACTTTGCATACTTTAAGGCGGCTTAGATACCGTATTATAGCAAATCACAATAATACAATTTCATATCTATGTTATGCGTGACGCATTCGATTTACTGGAACATGGAATATCACAATTTGTATATATTTTCTTTTGAAATTATTTTATTCATAGCATTCTATACAATTTCTTTTTATTTCGTTTTATAAAATAAAGCCACACGTATACGTGATTTTTTAACAAAATTACATATAACAATGATTGGATATTACCCGAGGAAACATAAATTCTTGATACATAACCCATATCCGGCTATAGTTAAATCATACACAAATATTCGATCAACGTTTGTGACGAAAGTAGCTAAGTAATAATAAGTGTAAGCTGCCGCAGGACATTCTGGTGGATTATTTCTCGCATTATATATCGAACAAATATCCAGATGTCATTGTCGCAAATTTCATTTGCAGCACAGTTTTCTTTTCTCGTCCGGCATCATTGCCCAATAAATATGTTTTGGCAATGTAGGCTTATTGCCAAAATTAACCTATTATTTTACAAGGACATGTCAGTAAAATAAACTTTTTTCAATTTATTGAACAGTTGAAATAAATTAATTTTCATTTCATCACACTCTACAATTTTATTTTCATCGCGATTTTTCGAATTTTAGTTTTATACACAAAGCACTGTTCCATGATTACGAATATCAAAGTCTCATATCTACATCGACAGCTCATCGTTTTTGTTTTTATTTTGTATTTTCTTGCTAATGCTGTTTTTAATATTTTCTTGTTGACTGGTAGTGAGTAATGCTTTCTAGTTTGTTAAGAAATAACCCAATTGTTTTTACACATTGTAAAAAATTATTTGGTGTACATAATGTAATGAATTCTTCAGTCTGTTAAATTTCAACTTTTTGCTGGGCTTCTCATTGATACCTTTGAAGAAAAAAAAATTCACAAACTATCCTTAGACACTAATGTTAGTGTTGAGGTAGGAACATTCAGTACTCTCCAGTACTCATTTGATAAGCCTTTACAATGTAAAACTAAAGAATTCATGTTATCAGTCCCACCATCTGACAAATAAGGCCGAGCCAAGATATTGGCCTACTTTATCAAATCATTGGGGAGAATTGTTGGTTCTTTTTTGCTATTTACACTGACTGATTGATTCGCTGACACATGGCAGAAAGGCTGGAGAAAAACATTGTAATGTAGTTTTCTTTGAACTGATTAAATATTAGCTAATAGTCAACTAAGTACGCACATATGTACATTCGCATACAATAGCGGCTTACATTACTTATGCGGTTTATCAAATCTAACCAGTTCTAACTGGTTACACAATGCAAATCCGCATACTGAAACGGACGATTTTAATGATGATGAATATTATGTGAACTTTATGGACCTAATTATAGTTTTGCCTTAACACACAAACGCTTGTGATACACCAGCGGCAATTACAAATGTTGGCACTCCGTGTATGTGTGAGTCAGTGAGTGAGTGGATACAATGAGGCAGGCACTTGATTGTTTGATTTTCAAGGAATGTGTAACGTCCATGTGTGTTCATATGTAAATGCTTACATACACTCAAATACGCATGGCCATCAACGTTCCGCAGAAAATATTAAAATTGCGACGCAATATAAATGAGTGTCGTGGTCGTTGTGATCGCCACTCTATTTGACTCCACCTCCGTTGCCGACTCCTCGCCCACCCATCCGAAACTGATAAAAGAAAAACTATGAACGTCGGCAGTGATTAGAAAAATATTGAATGTGAAAACAAGAAACTGAAAAATATCAAACTTTGTAATTGTTAAATTCTCGTGCTTGTTTTGTTAGGGCGCACGAGCCACCCGATTAGATTTGAGACCATTCGCACACACACTTTATCAGCATTAGACAGGCTGACGGGGACGACACACAAACTGTGTCGATGGAAATTGCTATTGATTTTTTCAGATGGTGTCGATGATCGTGATTGTTATCTTTTGGCTTGCTTGCTTGAGAGAGATGTATGAAAAAACTATCATTTTAGTAATGCTGCTGCTACTGTTGTTGTTGTTTTGTTACAGTAGCACCGACAAAAATACTGAAAACGTCAATCATATTTAAAATTAAATTGTTTTCTTTCTTCATAGCCTGGTATTTTGGGTCATGGTTCATAGTTAAGAAAAATATTATTGTTATTTTCTTATATTCAATTTAATCTATAATAATAGCTTAAACAACAAATAATACACCGGGGGAAATTAAAATAATAAAATAAAATGTTGATTCGCTTGAGAAAAAGTTCATAACATATTCCAAATTGTTGCAAAATATGTGAAACTCTTTAAAAATCCAGAGAATATTTCCAATTAATTTCGTTATTCAAACACGATTTCGCTATGAAGCATAAATTCTGAAACTATTTATTACTGCTGAAAATAATTTTCCTCTATCCAACACAATATTTTATATATAAAGAAATTTTCGAATTCGCCTCAGTGTATCATATAATACATATTTTTTGAAAACGAAATAATGAAATATGCATTCCAAATGACGCTATTGTTTACAACGATGACTTTTATGTGTTGATGTTTACATTTTTAGTTCAAATCACACGTTATTTTAGAAGAAATCAAACACGAGATGTCCGCTTTCAATGCTGAGAACTCAACATAAAGTTTGGTCTCATGATTAACACGGTTTCAGTTAGTAATTAATTTACAAATATTTATACACCCATACATATGTTTATTGTTTATTAATATAACTGTTCATAGAAACTCACATGCATTTACTAGTTGGGGTTCTTGATGGTTATTTCTTAAAATAGACACGGTATTTTTATGGGGCGAAACATAATGCGACGTTTACACACACCTACACATGAAGTGAGTTGTATTTTATATAGCGTGTCTAATTTGTAATGAGATTAGCTGATATTAACCTCTTGTGGCCTGACTTTATTTCCATTCTAATTTTTTATATACACGTACTGATTGTTGTTATTAAAAATAAAATTTGAATGATTGTAATTTGAGAGGCATATGGTTTATTTTTAAAGAAATAAGAATAAAGTTATAGTGTAAATTTTTTATCGTAATAGTGTAAATATTTTGTTTCATTGTCTCTTATGATGAAAAAACTGTTTCGGAAAAAATCATGTAATGAAATATAGGCGCCCGAACACAGTTTTCTCAGTAGACAAAGGGTTAAACACTACACTGATGTAAATAAAAAGTTTTGACATCAGACACATTGGCCCCTAAAACAATCTTTTATTTGAAATAACTTAAAAATCACATATAAAATCCATATACAATACCATGCGGTCGAACCATTAATTCGGGATATACTGTATATTCTCTTTATTATAAAGGAGAAGAAGATTTTATGCTGGATTCTGGAAAATCCCTAAATATAGTGAAATAATAAACAATTATGTTTAAGATATAGCTTAAAAATAAATAATTGTCAAGACAATGAAATATAGGCTCAGGAATTGTCCAGCAGCTTCTTTCTGTGAGATTCAGGTAATTTTATTCTCTTTTGCAAGAAAACAAGTAAACAGACGGAATCCCTGCAGAAACTTGCAAGCAATCAGCTGATATGTCAAAACAAAACAATTTGACTGCGATATACAGGGTGAGATGAAAAACATGCAACCAACTTCAGACTGCAACCAACAGACTAAGTTACTAGTCCGCTCTAAAAATTATTCCAGTGTCAGCTCATTACATTGTTTACAAGCGTACAGAGGCATGTTGGTGAGAATTTTCCAGAAAAAAGGTTATTCGTGATAGAATTCAAGCGTGATAGTGTGATTTATTTATATTTGGCTGGAAAACCACAAGTGGCTATCGTCAGAGCACTCCAGCCACCAGAACTCAAGCGCCGTCCATCAAGCGGCGATGGTGTGGGTTGCCATAACAGCCGATGGTCGCTCTCCGCTATTATTAATCGACCGTGGCATCAGAATAAATGCCGAATATTCTGGAGGGTGTATTAGAGCCTTGGGCATGCAAATATTTTGGTCGCAGACCTTGGACATTCCAACAGGATTCAGCACCCGCCACCCAAGAATTGTTACAAAATGAGGTTCCTCGCTTCATTTGCAGCGCACAATGGCCACCAAAATCTCCGGATACCAATCCGTTGGACTATTGTGTCTGGAGTATTCTAGAAAGCAAGGTTGGCACTAAAAAATACCAAAGTGTCGATCACCTCAAGCAAGAGCTTCGCCGGGAATGGGCCAAAATACCGCAGAACAACATTCGGACAGCTTATGACGGTTTCATTGGCCGTTTGAAGCCCATAATTCGTGCCAAAGGTGA